ATCCTAAACTAAATTGATTAAATTAACTAACTAACTAACCACGTTATAAAATCAAATTATACTTAAATAGTGTTTACTATACACAGAAATAAACACATTTAGGCAAATTTTAAATTTTTGAAAAAAACATTTATGCTTTTGAAATTCTACTCCTAAGAAACACATACAATACTACAACATATGTTGGCAAAACCTATACCAAATAATATCATGACTCACTACTTTCACTCATCTATGTTGAAAACAATTAAAATTTGTTATATCTTAATTTATATCTCTTAAAACATATATTAATTACATGGTTTCAAATTTGCACTTATCAAAATATTTTTTACAAAATTTTAAAATTATTTCAAGAATAACTATACTAGACGACTTTCAAGTAAGTCGTCTGGACAACTTACTTGAAAGTCGTCTGGAGAGAATAGTTTCGGAGGTTAGAAACGTAAAAAAAATCAGGTTTTTTTGTTTGTTCACAAGGAACTGGTTGTAATTTCAAGCCTTTTAGATCACTTTTGCATTTGTATCATGTTTGGGCTTTTTTTTTTATTTGAAACCAAGTTTTGAATCATATTTGACAATTTTCCCATTATTTAATTCCAAAATTATATTGAACAAGTATTGAGAACTTAATACTTTAAAGACAAACTTTGAATTTAATTTTTTAAAACGATGATAAATTACTGTAAATGTTAAATCTATCACATTAAAAATAATATTATCAATATTTTAAATTTTTATCATAAAAATATACAAACAATGTAAATGTGAAGCTTCATTTATTAGATATACAAATTAAAATTATAATATTATATATTTTAATATTATTTATTAATTATATTTACTTATATAAAATGATTGTAAATAAAAAAATATGTTTATTTTATTTAAATGCTCGCTAAATAAATTGTATATATAATAGTTACAGATTTTTCAATTATTCAATATATATATATATATATATATATATATATATATATATATATATATATATATTTTATCTTATAATATATAAAATAATACAAAATAAAGAATAAGAAATAAAATAATTTATACATATAATTCTCATTCCGCGTAAATACACGGGTATTAACCTAGTACTATAATATTTAGGGATTTTATGGCCTATACTGAACGCTCTTAATCATGCACATTTGATGGAATATTCCTTGTATTTACAACTAAATCGTATATAGCTGAAAAATATAGCTTAAAGGGAATTTGAAATACTGGTGAAGATAATGTAGGATTAGTGATAATCTAAATTTAGGAGTTTGTTAGGATTTCTTTCTTGTATGGAAACTAGTTTTTATTATGAGTATTAAATATACGTGTAAGATTTGATTTATTACTGGTTATCTATTTAACAACAATATATTATTTACATATTTGGTTGTGATAACTTATACAGCACATATACAATGTTTACATATTTACATTTGGTCTTAGTTAATATTTTCTTGTATTTAAAAAAATTCGTATAGGTAAGAGAAAAGGTTATCCCAAAAACAGAACCAGTAAATTACTTAAACCGTATGATTTAGAAAATTAATCACCAAAACAGGACCGGCTGAAGTCTTTAGTCAAAAACTAATCAGTTGTCTATAGCATCAAGGTACTTACAACCAAAAATATTATAAAAATATGTGCATATAAACCAATGTTCGAGAATTCGCTAGGCGTTACGCGTGCGGTTAAGTAGACCTAGCGCCGAATTAATTAGTCGGAGATTAATCGATGATTAATCGGCGAGTAGTTTTAGGTTTATATATTAGTAATGTGCAGATTAACTGTTGTCATGACGTAGGCTAGTGGTTGGTGGTGAGTTCTTACATCACTCATTTTAATATATCAGTTGGACCTGTGTTCGAGCGGAGCGGCACCCATTTTAATTATTTTTGTACACGATTAGGTTAAATGAATTGGAAAAGACAAAACTATCCTTGTCTTCTTCAACCTTCTCTGCGAGTTTTCTGCAACTTTCAACCGTTTTTTTTTTTTTTTTTTTTGCGATTTCGCTCCTCTTGTTATACTTGTAAGTTTTGATCAAAATATATCAAATCTGCCAAACGCATAGGATCTTAAACTTAAAATCTTCAAAACTAGCGAAATTTTTTTTACGATTTTTTCGCCGATTAGCACCAAATCGCTGCGGCTCTAGCCGAAAACACGCTTTTCCGGCGATAAACCGGCCGCCTAATCCACGTTTTCGAACAGGGATATAAACTAAGAGACCGTGTATTGTGTTGATATACCCGTTTTGATAGTGTAAACATTAAGAAAATAATTATTCAGAATATAAACCTTTGTAATAAGTTTTAAATTATATGATTTGATGTATACATCGGCTCATATAATTATAGTTGATCATCATACCGTTGATGGGCTTCGGCGAGATCTATTAATGAAGGCTTGAGATTTTATTTAAATTTGTATTTTAGTTTTAATAATCCCCTATATATTAATTGAGAAACATTTGAAAAGATGTAACCTCAAGTTTGTAATAATTAAAAAGTAACCTTGCTTAGTTGTCAATCAATTAGCATACCAATTAAACTGATGTGGCAGCTTTAGGTTCAATTGAAATTTGCTAGGGAAAAATAATTAGAGACGCATATAACACATGTAACATAGTTTATATATATATATATATATATATCGCACGCATGTAATGGAAGAAAAGGAAAATATACGATTTGATAAAGATTTGCATATATTAACTATAATAACTTCATTCCTTTTAATTTATGGAAGTGTATATGTAAAATGGAAATTACTTTGTGACCAAGTACATACTTAATGGTAAAGGCAAGAACGTTTATTATATGAATATATCTTTTGATCATTTTGACAAAACAATAAACGATATAAAGAGGCCCAATCTATTATTTATAAACGTTTAAAGCTTAAATGTTTACTATATGAACGTTTATTAAATTATTATATGAACGTTTATTATAAACGTTTATTATAATAGCTTATATATAATAATTATTATAAGGCAAGAACGTTTATTATATGAATATATCTTTTGATCATTTTGATCAATAGTTTAACATT